CAAATTAGGCAGTATGGTTTAGGGGTTTCCTGATGATAAACCTATCTTTTCCTCTTGTAATATCACCAGACTGCTCCTTGGAAAAGTTAACACTTTGGTATAGGACTCTCTCCACAGGACTACTTCCTTCCCATGAGAGCTGGAGCAAATGGTGACACACTAGGCATAGCAGTATTCTCTTCCAATAGCCTCATCACAAGTGTCACTCCTGCAGGGGGATGAAAAGACCTTTGACTTGTTATATAGCTTTTGGATACAGAAATACTGCCTAATGGTAAAATAATCAACTCTTTCACCCAGTCCCCCTCCCCTTTACCTTTTTATAAATAAAAGAATAAAATGTGCAATGATCCTGAGCTAAATAAATAAAAAATTCTACACTTTTGCCCAACAGAACCATCTGTATCACTGGGAAATACTTGCAGTCCTCAACAATCTTTTATCTTTATGGTGACATTTTCAGTCTTCCAATCTTTGGACATTCTGAGAACTTCTTTGATTTGGGTCCTCTAACAAACTTACATGAATAATTAGCCTTTTAACTAATAAAGTTGTAATTGAGACCCACCCTTCTCTCTCATTCAGCTTATCTGCAATCACTTAGCTCACATCTGGGGCTAACATGGAAAGCAGGTACAAGCAGGAAGGAATTATGGCGGCCAATCACTGTTCTGGTGTCTAGGTCATGAGAGTAAGATCCAGCCAGTCACTTTATCTGTCAATCAACCCATCCATCGTTTCACCCATCTGTCCTTCTCTCCATCTACTTGACTGCCACAGTGGAGATTCAGATGGAGAGCAAGTGTGGTTCAGACCCTTGAAAACCTCACATAACGGGTAGAAATGTTTGCCACTATTCTTCAGCTCAACAACTGGTCCCTTACCATCATGAAACATTCTTAGTCAGGTATCACACTCTTGTATTAGTCATTGTCTTATGCTCAGCCATGATTAAGCTCCAGGGAACAAGAATCTATTTGCATCCCTGTGGGTGGCACATACCAAATGCAAAATAAACATCACTAACTAAGTAGATAGATATGCAATGCACAATATACAAGACACAATAAAGAAAGAGAAAGATGAAACATCTGTTCCTTGGAGTACATAATGAGTCTCCATAATATAGTACTTGTTGGAGCATAGGGCCCAATGTTTGCCTTTAGATGGTGCTAGGTAGTCAAAGCCAAGGGATTATACTGTCTTGGGTGACTCATTCAACTCTGAGAACCTGTCCACTGGAAAGGGGATTTTAGACAATATGCTCCAATTCCTTTCGTTGGGGATTCTCTACAGAATTAACATTACTGTGCTAAATACTCAAGTTAAAGCTTTAGAGGGTCATGGGCTGAGTCAAGCTCCCAGGCTTACCTTCCTAAACAGTGCAAAAAAGATCATAGCTTTGGTCTTATCATTGTGCTAGTATTTCTTATCTTTGAGGATAGGAGTAGGGAAAGGTGTTAAATTAGATGCTTTCAAGTTTAAACTCCTAAGTATAACTTTCATTACTTTAAGTCAAAAACATTGGCAAAGGTTAAATTTAGTCACAGAAAATACATGTCATAAAAGGAGTCCTAACTTGAATTATTTTGTGTCAATCTTCATCCAGCCAATATTTAATAAGCTCTAGTACATGCCAGTCAGTACTTAGGGAGTGAACCAGGTAAAACACAACCACTTCTAACCCAGAACAGTTGATCCAGTAGAAAATGCACTAGTAAATGAACAAATGAAGATGACTTCAAATGAGGTTAGGAACACAGATTATTCAATAAGTAGCTCTATATGGAAACACACACACACACACACACACACACACACACACAATTATAGCAGGCTCTTCTTTGGATGGTTTCTCTTTGGCGGCAATATTTCATTTAGGATCTTAAAGTCCTCAGGCAAAACAAAGTATGGGTAAGAACATTCTAGGTGAAAGGAATAGCAAGGGCAAAAGCCTCAGAGCTGCAAACAAGCTTGAGGGAATCACAGGACAATGAAGTGTCCAGAACATCTGCGAATGGAGGAGGGAGTGATTCAAGGACACTGAGGGTAGAGACAGTGCTGCCAAGCATCTGCGGACTCCTCTGGAAGAAGGTATCACCTAACCTTTCACCAAGGTCTACCTAAAAATTCACAGTTTATTTTATTATAAAGGTAGGCAATGCCCACAGCGACATCAGCAGTGCCTGGGACTTGTTATCAGCAGAAACTGCATATTCACTCATATCATAGTTGATGCAGGTATCCAAAAATACTACTTAAACTCATCACAGATGTAAAATCACAATAGCTACTAACCAGTTATTAGACCTCATTATTTCAAGTATTAACAAAAAAGCACATACATTTCTACATTTTACATTTTAAAGGTATTTAATAACTATTTAAAAGGAATTGATTTCCTTGGTAACTCTGTGTATTCCATTTTGCATATATGAAAAGTATTATTCTGAAAAGGGGTCCTTAGGCTTCACCTCAGTCAAAGCTTTTTGTCACCTATGACCTACGACCCACAGGTCAAAGTTAGAGGTTCATTCCAAGCAGGGTAAGAAAGTGAATGTGGGGTGGGGATGCATCTGGGGGTCTAGGTAGAGAGGATTTGTGGCTGCCCAAAGCAATGCTGAAAGCAGGAGAAAGCTATGACTTTCAGTGACCACTGTTCTAGATGATTCTAAGCAGAATCTCAGGGTCTTTGTGTACTTGGCTCCTCTCCCTGATGCACAGACTTTCTACTGCACCACCCCACACTGTCCAGTGGGCCCTTTTCAGAGCCTGTCCCAGGACATCTTCCCAGGGAGCTTCAGAAAATGAGCTCATGTGTCCACAAGAAAAACAAACTTGGTGTTTGCCACTGTTTGGTTTGTGTATTGGTCTAGAAAAGAAATGGGATTTTTATGTAAGAAAGCCTTCCAGCAGGACCCCAGCAGTGGCTGGGCAAACACCACAGCGACAGACTATAAACAGGCACGAAGGCCCAACCCCTGGCCCAGGCCCATGTGTGGCAGCCCCTCAGCTTACATCTGCCTTCCTGTTTTTTCCAGCCTCTTCCACACTGCATCAACACACAGAGGCTTTTCAACACCTCTCAGAGGACTGAAACATCATTCTCACACAGCAGGTCCCGTCCTCATACCCATGGGTATAGACTCCACCAAGAGACCTGAGGATGGACTAGAACTGTCGGGTAAGGGTCCATAGTCCAAGAGACTCTGACAGCTTATTTTTGTGCTCCCAGCTCTCCAAATCAGAAGTGAACAGAATAGGGGAGGCAGGAGGTAAAAGATAAACAGGGAACCCCCTAGAAGAAAAGGATACAATGAAGGCATCGAAGCCCCTAAATTCGTATGACGTTTCTGGGTATAGCTGGAGTCCGGGTGGTGCTAGTTCCCCTCAAAAGAGAACTTGTATGTCCCCAGGGAACAGAAGTGGAGGAGGGGGATGCTGACCTTGGAATCCAGGACCAGGTTGCTAATGAAGAATGCCTGCATCCTCATCACCACACATGGTGATCTCTAACCCCCAACACAATGGATAAAGAAAGGAACCTTATGAATGGGAACAGAGCCTGACAGGAAAAAGAATTAGAAACTCTGCTTCCGTCTACTGTGAAGGACACAAGGAAACCATATACAAAGCAGAAATGGTCCTTCATCTTGGATATCTAGAAACAAACAAAAGTGTACATCTATTGTTCAAGCCCCGCAGTCCATGTTATTTGTAATAGTGGTCTATACTGACTACCACCACAAAAAGAGGCTACATGAGAACAAAGTCTAGATGGGTTTGTCCATGCAGGTCTGAGTCAGAGAAGCAGGTCTGCACTGTGTCCATAGCTCCAAGTTGCACTGTGCGCTCCTTTAGCAACATTTACCTTTTAATTATTTACTTTGTGATTGATATTTTGTCTGCACATGTGTGTGTTTCATGTGCATGCCTGGTATCTAAAGCAGCAAGCAGAGGGTATTGAATTTTCTGGAACCACAGTTGCAGATGTTGTGAGCAACCATATTATAAGAAATGGAAATCAAATCTGAGTCCTCTGGAAGAGCAGCCAGTGCTCTTAACCACTGAGCCAACTATCCAGCCCTATCTACTCCTTTCTAAAAAGGACAAGTTGGTTCTTTTTTTTTTTTTTTTTTTTTTTCTAGTGAAGAAATAAGGGCCTTTTTGTCCTTATGCACTCACATATCAGGCTTTGTTTCCTCCTAACACCTTGTCAAGGACATAACAGAAGAAAAAGGAAAACCTTTTATTCCTCACACCTCAAAGTCCTCACTCATCTGTCTTTCTACCTTCCAGGATCTTCTGTTTCCTGGAGTTTTCAACTGCCCTTGGTAGAAGGGACAGAGAACACTGAATCTACTCCTTTTTGTTTAGAACCAGAAATCCCTGTATTTCACACTTGCATATTTTTATACTCTTAAGAAGCACATGAACCTAATAAAGCAAAATATACAGAATTCTTTCATCTAAATGGCAGAGATATGCTGTGTTCAGCAGACACATTTGGTGTGTTTGCTATGTCCCTACAGGAGCTAAGGCCTTGGCTGCTGTTGGAGGTGGCCATATTGGGACTAAAGACAACTAGGCTGAGTCAATGGGCTGCTGGTATCGTGAATATCAACCTCCCAAGTTAGAGGGATGGTGAACCTAAACCAAAGTTGCCTCCCCAGAGCAGGATGAATGGAATCCAGGGAAAGCAGAGTTCTGCTTGGGGACTCCAGCTAGCCTTGGTCCATCTTCCTGCTCTCCCTTCATCTGGGATACTGTGGGCAGTTAAAGATCCCTGTGCTTCAGTTTCCCTTCTGAAGTAAAATAACAGCACCTGCCTCAAAGATACCAGAGAGGCAACAGTTCATCCTGGCATACATCACATAGTGAACAAATACTGGTTGTATCTTTGGCAAATACGTCAGATGGAGCCAGAATTCCCATATCTACTCAGCTGGGTTGCATGGGCATGGTTGTACAGAGGCTTTGGCAGTGAAAGTGCTCCTTACCTATGGTCCTTCGGAGGTCTTCACACTGGCTGATGTGAGGAAACTTCAGGATTTCCTTCCACTTCTTGCTTTTCCCTTTGCGCTTTCCTCCACCCCCTGCAGAGATGGAAAGATGACACTGATATTGTGCTGCCCAAAGCTCCAGAGCCTGCATCCCACACCCATAAGCCTTTCCACCAGCCTCTGGGCTTTAGATCAAGCCAGTGAACTGCCCTGATCCCACCTATCTACCCCTCCCTGCCTCCTTTCCTCCCCTCCTTCTTCTTTCTTTCCTTATTCTACATAGCAGAGAAGAAAGCCAAGGTACATGGAAGAAAGAAGTCATTTAGGACCACACAGCTCACAGACGACACAGCTAAGACCCCAGGAGACCCCAGTGCTCCTGCCCCTCACTAGCCTGTCTGTAACAAGAAGTTTGATCCTTTTGAAGGTTCAGAAGGTCAGAGGATACATTGGAGTCAGAGCATCCTGTAATAGGTGGAACAGTGGAGGGCCCACATCTATGAGCTCCCAGAAGCCAAGGATTGGCCGTACATACCCCTGCAGGGTTCCTTCAATTAGACACACATGTAGTTTGCTTGCCTGCCCTTTGGCAAACAGGTTGCTAATATTTAAACACAAGGTCACGCTGCATACAAACCCAGATTCTGGACTTCTTATCCATAGTCAGGCTTCCCACATAGCAAGAACCAGCTAGAACTAGTAAGAGTAGCCCTATGAACAGGACCCAGATGAGCTGCCCAGTAGTACAGTCTAGTTGGTCTTAATAGAAACCCCAGAGCCAGATATTGGGATAAATGCTGAAAGATCAGAAAGACAAAGGAGCAAGCCACAGCCACCTCTTACCTCACCAACTTCTCAGCACAAAGGGGGCCAGGCTCCTGTCTCCTCCCTGCCTTATCAATTCCTCTCTCTGCCCAGCCATATCATTTTCTGAACCCTGGTGCTAGGATTAAAGATGTGTGCCACCACTACCTGGCCTCTATGGTTACCTAGTGACTAGCATCAAACTCTAATCTCCAGACAAGCTTTACTTGTTAGAGCACAAACAAAATATCACTGTCCCCACCAGCTAAGCATCCTCTCAGATGCCTGTCTGTTCTCTATAAAGTTGTATGTGCACTTGCCTGGTTGCTACAGAAGGTGGTGCATGCAATCTCATAGAAGGGTAATCCTCTAGGAAAATCAGCCTGCCTAGCAGGTGAACTAGGTTAGCAAGCCTATTCCAGCTACTAGGGACCTAAATGGGCCATCAGAACTCATGTGGCCCATACAAGGCTCCCATTCTCATTCATACACTATTGATTCCCAGAGCTTGGTGGGATGAAGAATCTCTTTCTATATGATAAAATAACATAAATTGACAGTTTTAAGTGTAAAATTCAGTAGCATAAACTGTGTTCGTATTGCTGTCTAAATGTCACTACTAGCCATCTCCAGAACATATCTGTCATCCTAAAATGTAAACATGATTTGTTTAAAAAAATACTCCCCCATTCTCCCTCCCCTAACTCTATTCTCTTCTATTTTCTGCCTCACGTAGAATCATACTTGGTAGAAGAACCATTTCCCCTTGGTGTCTGGCCTAGTTCACATAAAACGATGCCTTTAAGGTCTATCCATAACATAGTGTATGTCAGAAATTTATTCCTTTTTAGAGCTGAACAACATTTGGTTATATAGACATATTTCTGTTTTGTTTTGAAGCCAGGTCTCATAGCCTAGGCTGGCCTTGAATTCTCTGTGTATCCACACACGACTTTGAACTTTTGTTCCTCCCATTCCTACTATGCAAGCACTGAAATTATAGGTATGCAACACTACACCCAGTTTATGTGGCACTCAGAGCTCTGAGCATTACAAACTGAACTACGTCCTGACCCCTGGACATACATTTCTCCATTCATCTGTCTTAGGATACTGAAGCAACTCCTAATTTAAAGCTGTAGTAAATATATGTTTCTTGGACACTTGTAGTCAAGCATCTGTTTCATGCTCTGTTTTTAATTCCAGGGAGAGACACTGCTAGTCATACAGCAAGTCAATTATTTTTGAAGAATAGATTCTGTACCCTTAACAATGAAGATTTCCAGATTGTAATCCCAATCTGAATCTAAGAATGTGGCTTCTTCAAGGATCCCCAGGTGTTTGTCAAGTAACTGAACTATAGAAGTAGGTACCTGCTTCTCACAGGCAGTAACTTAGAGAAAATTAACACAGATTCATTAATTCATTCAACCAGGATATGTTGAGCATCTCCTAAGTAGTGATCCTCCTACGGATACTGGGACATGGTAGTCATGTTCACAGAAGACAGAAGTCAAACTATAGTTCCTCTGGTGGTTTTCAAGCCCTATGACTATCTCCTAGAAAACATCTCAAAATATCTGGAGATACTTAATTGTCACAGCCTACTACTGGCAGCTGATGGGTACAGCACAGGATGTGAATAAACATAGCACTATATACTGGGCAGCATCCCAAGACATACAATATTGGCTCTAAAAGGTAGCAACATAGGGAAATCTTGCTTTATCTAATGGCAGCCCTTGGGAAGGGAGTAGGGTTTGGGGGAGGTTTGCTGATTATGGAGACAACCGTCTAGGATATTAAAGGAGGTGGGGGAAAGTGAGCCACCTGGAGGAAGAAACACCGAAGGGGCCCAAAACCTTCAGGAGAGTTTAGAAGGTAAAGAAGGTACACTCAGGCAGTGATGGTTCACGCCTTTAATCCCAGCAATGGCAGGTGAATCTCTGAGTTCCAAGGCCAGCCTGATCTACAAAGCGAGTCCCAGGATAGCCAAGGCTACACAGAGAAACTCTGTCTTGAAAAACAAAAAGAAAAAGGAGGAGACCACCCAAGGAGGCTGCACAAGAACAGGCAGAGGCTCCCAAGGTGGTGCCTGGGGTAGTCTGGTAGCTCTCCTCCTAATCCTTGTATCTTCAGCTTCCAGAACAAGGCCAACAAATTGTGGAAGACAGAATAACGTTCCTCAAAGATGTCCTAATCCTGAGAATCTGTGAGTACGTTAAATAACATGGGGGGGAGGGAGGGGGGAATAAGGTTAAAGAAAGAATTACAGGCAACAATAGAGATGTTTTTCTTAAATTACCCAGAAAGGGTAATCATCGTCAACTTCAATACATTTAAAATCACCTAGGGACTGAATCCTCTGAAACCTTGAAACACAATAAATCTTTCCTTATGATATTTCTGGCAGGAATTTGGTCTCAGCAACACAAAAACAATCAATAATAGGTCCAATGAAACCAAGGAAGGTAGAAGCATCAAATTTGAGTAAGAAAACATGAGAAAAGACTAGCCTGGCCTTTGTGAGCTGTGAAGATGGAAAAGATCTTAAGCCAAAGAATGTAGGAGACTTGTACAAAACGGAAAAGACAAGAGATTCTTTTCTGGAGATCCAGAAGAAGCCAGCCCTGCTGATACCATGTTTCTAATTCAGTGAGACATGGATCAGACTCCCAGCCTACAGAACTTAAGATATAAATATGTATGTTTTGATCCACTTAGTTCTACAAAATTTTGTGTGTGTGTGTGTGTGTGTGTGTGTTTTGATAGTTTTCATAACCACAGGCAAATAATATGGGATACTTTGGGCAGAGTGCTTCTTCCCCCACAAAAATGACCTCCACACCTACATCTGGCCCTTTAGTTCTGCTAAAAGTCCCACATTAAACCTAGCCTCCTATAACTTGGGCAGACTGCAACAATGCCTAATGTCTTAAACCTGCCTCAAAGAGGACAATAGCAGACAATAGCACAAGTAGGCTGTTGTGTTTCTAAATTACATATTTAATGACTGAAAGTGTTGACACTGTTCATTATTTCAGTAGAACTTGATTATTTCTCTGTATCCTGAGATACAAAGCTAGGCTCAGTCCCATTACTGTAGAAATTCCTCCATCATCCTGGCCACAGTTGCCCCCAGGCAGGCCTGCTGCACTACTTTAGTGGGATGTCAGGCCTACAAGGGGACTAGGACCCTACATCCTACCTCCCTGCTTCATAGGTCCTAGACAGGCCTCAGCAGGAACAGCTAGTTGGAACCCACAGGCTTAGCTCATCTTCCTTGGCTACATTCAATCCTACATTCATCTTCTCCCTAGCCTCTGAACCAATGATCTTAGGGCTTTTTCACTGTTCATACCCTGCTTTTCTCTGACCTGGTCAGCTGAAGGACATCTGTTTTCCTCCTTATCCACATGACTTGGCAGAGTTTGAGGAGCTTTGTTTATTTGCTCAGTCTCTCTTCTGGACATACACATCAGCTTACAGAACACTCATCCATTCTCTCAGCACACTTCCATTGACCCACTGAGCACTACATGAAGTGACCACTAATGGTCAGTGCTATGCTCACAATATATAGGTATCATTCTGTGCATTGGTATGCCCGCCCATACTGACAGCAGGCACACAGTAGAAGAGACCCAGTCTTGAATTTTCTGCCATTCTCAGCCTGCGGTAAATACTCAGTGTCTGCTTATTAGATGTGAATGTGTGCTTTGTCTTAGGCGTCTGCACACATCATGTTTCTTGCAGACACAAGTATTTACCAGCATACACTTCCCCACCCCTCTATCTGCAAAAGCCCCACCTGGCCTCTCAGTATAGCTCCAATACCCACTTTTCCACGGTACCTTTGAAAGGCAAAGCCCTGTCTGGCCCTCAGCTTCCTTAAAGAGGTGAGGGGAGATAATGATTCAGTTAACACAATACCTGCTAACTGCAAATTTTCTTCTTGCCAGCTGAGCAGGAAAATGAATGCTTGCTTGTAGGAATTGGTGACATCTTTCCCTCTGCTGCTGTACCCTGAGTCCCACTCAAAGATGAAAATTACGGGCGCAGTGAGAAAAGTTCACCAAACTGACACCGTCACAACTGACAGCCATCTAGGGATGCAAGCAGCCTTGAGCCTCCCTCGCTTTACTGGCCATTCCATTCTAGCCTTAAGAGCCTGTAACGACAACCCCGTTTCTGTCAGTGTGGAGGTAACAGCCCATTCTAAGCATTAAAGCTCAAGGAACACCAAAGAGTAGTGGTCGGAGCCAGAGAGGGAGCATGAAAAAGGGTGG